TTGTGGGCACTGAAAATTAATGCATATAATTGAATCTTTGTTTTTTTTGCTTTCGGGCTTTTGGAAAAGTCATGCTGAGTATGCAGTACCAAATAAGTAGACGTGTCTGAAAACTAATAAGCCGAAGCTGTTAGGCAGAATTTTTAAGAGCTCTATGAGGAAACTTAAGTTAAAAACAAATTAACTTAATAATGATTACTCTTTAAATATGTCTATGAAATTATAAGGCTCAGCAGTTGTTATGTTTTGGCTAAGAACTAACAGACCAAAAATGCCAAGCAATTGGATTATTATTATTAAATGACCTCGCAAGGGTAAATAAATTATTGTATAGCTAAGTATGGCTGTATGCAGTCCAATCTATAGTAAAAATTTAACTCCCATTTCTTTAGAGATAGTAGGTATCAGCCTGTGCAAAGCTGGGCAATCCTACAATACTGCTCAGAGAGGAAAGTATTTACATGATCGAGGCAAGAAACCTTCATTATGCAAATTTTACACGAAGAGTGTTTTTTTGTCTTTGTCTTTGTGTTCGGATTCAGGAAAATTTAGATATTTAGTGGGCAAAATAGTCCAGGAATACGAACTACTTAAAATTCAGCTCTTGAATATTTAGCACAGATCTTTAACAAAAAGAGCCTGTAATAAGACCTGGAGGTCTTTTAACGGCTATTTACATTGTCCAACCGTCTAGCATAATGGGAATTTATCAACTCAACTTGACATTACGAACTTTAAGTCGCACAATAATTCAGTATGTCAACTAAAAATTTGCACATTGGTCACACTGAGATTTACACACACTCACACACACACATACAAGCACAAGCACACGCACACACACCTTATCCACTGACTAAATCTGTCACCCACTCGCACAGCTAAAATTCCCATGGCGTTGGCTTTTTTGCCTTTGCTTTTGGCGTATGACACTTCTGCAGTTGAGCTTGTTGTTGTTGCCGTTTTTGTTGGCTTCCGCTTGTTGCTGCCACACATTGGCCTGAGCCTGACCAAATTTGGCAATGGCAGCAACGCCGCTTCGGCGATGGCGGCGGCTGCTGGTGCATGCCTCAAGTTGATGCCCGTTGGCAGTTGATGATGGCGCCCGCGCATGCGTTCAACTGTTTTGTTTGTTGTTGCTGATGCATCATCATCATCATTTATTTTATTTAATCATCATCATCATCATCGTCATTTATTTTGTTTAATTGTAAATTTGGAATATTGTCCGCTGTCTTGAAGTTAAACATATTGTGCATGTTGCTTATGAGATTACAACAATCGAATAAATAATAAAAACCCGCTGCCCCCTTGTGTACATTTTGTCGGTTTCTTGTTGGTGTTGTTGTTGCCGTTCTTCTTGTTGTTGTTGTTGTTTTTGTTGTTGTTGTTTAGTGGGCAAAATCTTTAATGAATCTCTGGCTGTGCGAGTAGAAAATGCTGTTTGCGTGTGGGCCTCAAATCGTTTTTATTATTGTGCATGTCGTGTAATTTAATTTATGAATTTAAATGAACAAACGAGGCTGCCTCGCTTCAATCGCAGTCATGCGGGAGGGGGGGCAAGGAGATATATTTAAACTCTTCGTTTGTTATTGTTGTAGTTGTTTGTACCATAGTTAGATACGTTTTTTTTTCGGCTGCATAATTTTCTAATGCTGACAAATGGGATTTGGATTTATGACTTTTGTCGTTGTTGCTTGTCGTTTAGTTTTGGCTTTTTTTGGGGGCAAAATGCTGCGACTGTTGTTGCACGTAGGTGTTGCAGTTGCAGCACTCGTTGCTGTTGTTTGATTGAAGATGTTGCAAGCTGACCTCGAGAGTGAACATGAGAAACTGCTTCACAAACTGTGCCACGATTGTGCAAAAGTGCCTCAAATGTGGAGCTGGCCAAACAGTTAGCCAAGGTAACTGAAAGGGTGACTAAATGTATGAATGAAGCATTCAATGAGACACAAAAATGAATGCTGAATGAAGAGTCTTAATAAAAAATAGCAATGAGATTCGATCAAAAATCCTAGTTGAAAATTAATAACAAACATAAATGCAATTTATATTAGAGTAACATAATATAAATATAAGAAAAATGTTTTGGATAATTATAAATTAGAATGAACTTTTAAAAATGCAAGGTGAAAAAGAATATTAAATCAATAAGTGCCAAATCAATAATAGAGTAGAATTTTTAAATGTAAAATATTTTGCTTATTTATAAGTTTTAATATTAAATCGAATAATACTAATTAAATGTGCTAGCAGCTGAGGCAACTAATAAGAAAAATTCAGTAAAGTAGATCTCTTATAAATTTAAATATAATCCCAGACCTTTGAGGGGATCCCAATAAATCTGTCCCCATTGTAACGCGACATTTAGCTGCATATATGACATATACGAATAGCCAGCTTGAAAAGGTTCTCAAGCTATCAAAAATCTGAAGACCCGTGAGTATTAAAAGCCGCTTGCCGCTTGGCCGGTTGGTCGCTTTGTGTGCCATTTGCCGACAGTTGTTGTTGGCGTTGCTCCCGTTAAAACGTTTCTAATCTTAACTCATTATAATTAAATAAGTCACGAGTTTTGAATTTTAATTCGCTTTTCTGACATTGCCCCAAACAGACAAAGGCTGACTGACAAAATCGGCTACCGTCAATGGCAGTTGCTGTTGTTATTTTGTGTATTTCGTATTGTATTATGTGCTAAAACCCCCCCGTTCCCACCCAGCAAAGTCCCCTCTCAGTGTTATTTTCGGGTCAATTTTATCAAAATCGCACACAAGCCAAGGTCTGTGGCCACGAAACTTAATTATATTGCAGAGCTGGGCAGCAACAACAATGAAACCTGGGCAGGTAAATAGAATCTTGTGAGGGCCATTAAAATTTGCACTTTAATGTTGCAGCAACAGCGGCAACAACCGCGACAGCGACAGCAACAACAACGAAAGCCAGGCAAAAACAAAAGGAGTGAAGTACAAATTACTTAAAAACAAAATGAGCCAAATTAGCAGACTCACTTGGTTGCTACTGATTTGGATTTCGATTTCGATTTCTATGCAGCAACAACAACAACCAGTCAAGGTCTTTGCGAAGGTGTTGAAATGGTTGCGACGCCACGGCTGAAGTTGAATTTGAAGTTGTATTTGATTTACGACTGATGCTTGGAAATTGCTTTGAAATTGGCCAACAAAAATAAGGAACGAGGCAATGCCTAAGAATTGGCCCAGGCCAAACAACTCTTAACTTGCTCGCTTGTTACATTGTTGTTGCTGTTGCTGACGATGACGCTGCCGATGTCGATTTTGTGCGGCATTATGCAACTCACGACAATGACAATTCACGGCAGGACCTTTGGCGACCTACAAGCGTGTCGGCAACCCCCTGCCAGAGTGCTCCAAGTGCTCCAAGTGGTGCTGGTGGCTCACACTCATTTGAAGATGCCAAGCTTCAGTTTTGGCGTCGCTTGTTTGGGTTTGTCAGTTGTTCAGTCAGTTGCTCAGTTTGTGGCGCTCGTATGACAAATCGACAAATCGATTTACATAGCCTCGCTTGTTGGTGTTGGCGTTTGGCTTTCAGTTCATTAGGTTTGGCTTTGGATTTTTGGGCCAATTAGGTTTGGTTCGCCAGTTTCTTGCTTGACTGCAGGGTTATGCGGCTTGACTTAATATTAAAATGTCATTGCTGGCGCCGTGGGGCCTGCCTGAACACGGGCAGGCTCTGACAACGTACTCAATTCAATTGTTCTCTCTAGCACACAGGCATACACACACACACTCGTAGCTGAGCCACACATTTGAAAGCGAGAACTTTATAAATTTTTTATATAGTGGTAATCTTTGTTGAACAAAATTGAACAGCATATTCCGATATAATGGCTAAGAGCGGCTACTGCTCCAACGAGCAACTGATTAAATTGGCCCAAAAGCGTTACAAGAACCATTTGGACGTCATTTTCACGCCGTTCATGTTGTACATGGAGGAGTATATTGAATATTTACAAGAGCATGCCATCAAAAATGATTTCAGCATGGACGAAATAATTGAAATGGCCCGTCACAACTGGAAAAAGTTCAAGAAGTGCGACAAAGTGCGCTACAGGGAACTGGCCGAAATGGCTAACAGCCAATAAACTGTATGGTTTCCAATCAGAAGAGAGCACGTGAATGAAAGTGAGAGAACGAAAGAGAAAGAGAGAGGGCAAGAGAGCAAAAGCGAGCGAGCAGCAATGTCAAATTCGAAATTGAAATGAAGTTGTGCAAGCAGCCAATGTTAAAGGAATTGTTGACGTACTTTATTAACTTCTGCCAAACGAATTTCATTTGTTAGTCATATTTTTGGAGAAGCCGTCTAGTACATGAAATAAATATGTATTTTATTAGCTGACATCAGAAATTGCTTTCTCTATATATATATGAAACTGTCCCTTGGATCAAAATACGTATCAAAGAATGTGTTAAAAAGTTTCTTTCAGCTTCACACTACAAACGCAAAATGGGTAAAAATCGCTGCATACAATGGCAAAGAAATAGAAAACTTGAGATTTGGATTCTAATTTGGAATTTGGATTTAACCTATCTAAATTCTAGCCGTTTCTAGGCAAGCCCAAGTGCATGTACAGTAACTAGTCGTAACTCTTGTCGAACATACTCCATATAGTTTTTGTTATTTGCCCATTTTAGCTACTTAACCTGCATTAAATTGATTGACAATTTCACGATAAACCTTTTATGCCTCAGACCCTGCCCCTTCGCCATCTTGGCGTAAGCACAGCAGCTGCAGAGACAACAATTGGAGTGTTGCGACTTCTGGGACATGCTGACCGTGTCTATGTCGTGTGTCCAATCTGTCCGAAGTGTCTTGTGCCCTATTAAGAACATGGCATTTCAAATGATTTATATAATTTTCTGGCATTGTTTCAGCGATATAGCAGTCCAGTATGTAGGTGTCTGGGAACTCGAGTACATTGTCCAGTTCCACTTGAAGCTTGTCAGCCACAATTTGACATTTGTGTTGTCACTTTTTGGTGTGTCTGACATTTAACACACAACATAAATTAAAATTTTTCGCTTGCCAAATACAAATAATAAATAAAAAGCACTCGCAGCCAGTCGCCTGTCCAGGCTATTGGCGAATAAGTGAGCCAGTTACCAGCAATTGTAGAAGGAATTAACCGCAATTAGCACATCAACAAATGGCGTTTAATTAATTGCGTTTGGTTAATTGAATTTTCGGCATTTCATTGCGTACAATGCAAACAATTTTTATTATATCGTTAATTATGTAATTTTCCACAGCAACTGAAAAGTAAATTCGAGTGAACGCGCGTCAGCTGTAAATGCCTTAATCAAATGTTAATAGCTTAATCAATATGCCATAAATAAATTTCTATATGTAATAATAATATCAAAAAGCAACAACAAAATCACAATCGAGATCAAATCAAAGAAAAATCAAAAGGCTCTCCGTCCCGGACACTCTCGCACATATTTTATTATTACGGCTGCAACACTTTTGTATGCGAAAGGGGGAAAAAATTGTATAAAAATAAATTCTTGAAACTTGTTTGCTGCATGCGATTACGTCGACGATCTACGATCTATGATCAACGATCGCCCCGTCATCGTCATCGAGTATCGCATGAATTTCAAAATCGTCGACATCGCCGCACAGCTGTGACGAATCTTTCTCAGTTTCAAGTTGCCCATTTTCCCCTTGCCCGTTGCCCGTTGGCCGTTGGGCTACGTGTGCGAGGGCGGGGCTAGGAAAGATCTACAGCTAGTCCCAGGTCCCACTGGCTGCCTGCGCTCTGGAAAACGCTTTTCACTTTTTATAGCCACTCCGCTAATTTGACAGGCGGGCGCGCAATCGCGATCACCAGACTGCGACTGCGACTGGAACTGCAACTGCAACTCCGATCTACTGACAAAGTGCCATGTGTGGATAGATAGACTCAGTTATGAACGGATATATGGAGCGGCAGTGAAAGGGGATGTACTATGGCACACTGGGTCGCAGATGGTGACAAAGGCTTTGTGGAAGATATGTTGCTTAGCTTATCAAAAATTTTAATATTCAGCTAGATGAACACGAAGTCTAGGCAAGTCTGTTAAAGAGCTAGGGCTAAATGTTCACCAATCCAATTCATATAGAATATGCTTAAATATAAGTATATGTAAGATAAGCCGAAGTGCAAAACATTTATGTAGGAGGCCTGGGTGGAGAATTTTTTATACGATATTCAAGACAAAAAAAAAAACAATGAGAATATATGATTTGGATAAAGCATCAATCATAGAACTCCAAGTGAACTCTAAATGATATAAAACAGGGTTAAAAAACACTTCATTTTTATTGATTCTTTTATGTTTCTCATTCTGATTCTAAGTATACCCAGATAACCCATATAGATATTTATCAAAACTATTACACTTAAGTGGTTTTATTATTTGTACTAGAGTCCTTACTATTTTGATAACTACATTAATATATTCTAAATAGACAATTTATCAATTGATCTACATTGCCAAGAACTAATGAATTTGTATCTAATCTAATCGAATTACTTAAATAACAATTAATCAAAAACCCTCAATGTTTTCTTTGAGCACACGTCTTATAATCATAATTGAGAAAAATGGTCTAATATATTAATCTTTTAAGTACTAGATACAAAGCTGTCTCCTTATTTGATCTTAACTATATTGATCTGGGAATTAGCTATACTTGGATTGTGTGGCACCGCAGCTTTACTGCATTGCTGGCCACTGTGTTCCCACATAGACGACAGTTACAGCTTCAGCTCCAGCTACAGCTCGACTCGCACTCAGATCAGATCTGCTCTGCTGAGCTCAGCTCAGGTCTATATTGGTCTCCAAAGATAGACAGCTATCGATCAGCTGCACAGTTGGCAGCTCAGCGAGCTTAATGGAAGCCCGCCACTTAGCCGGCAGTTGAGTTTATAGACTTTAATTTATGCACTGAGCTCGAGGCACAAGACTTGGCCCCGGACGCGGCTTGCTCCCTCGCTTCCCCTTACCCTTGTCCCTCCGCTCGCTTCAGCCGTTGTTGTCTCCAGCTCTGTCCCTGAATGCGGCTTAAGCTCTTGCGTTCGAGATGCGTGCCAGCGATAAAAGTAATTTGCTTGATTTAATTTTAGTCAGCAGCTCACGAGACAACTAAACAGCCCCCGCAGCGAGCGGTCTGACCTCCCCCCAACCGCCACTCTTACCCCTGCCAGCGGTAGCATCCTGTTTGTCAGCTCTCAGCATTTTTTTTAGTTTTTAGATTTTAGTTTTAAGTCGATTTTTTAATTAGGCAACCGCAACAAATTTTTAGCAAAGTTTCATGTTGCAAAATGTTTGCGGCGCATGTAAGTGGCAAATGGCCTGCCCCAAAAAAAAAGTCAGCAGCAACAACAACAGCAACGAGGGGCAGACAAACTAAAGCCAACTTCTAAAGTGGCTAATTGTGTTATGGCATAATTTACACGTTGTGTTTTCGGTTGCCACTAACAAGGCGCTGGACATGTGCCACTAGCAGCCACTTGAACAATTTTGTTGCACCTCAGCGAAAAGGTTTTTTATTATTTTTTTCTTTCAATTTTATGCGGAATTTATGTACGCGTACTTCCAAATATTCACATAATATTCCATTAAGAGCCCGTACGTTTACTTGAACAACTAATGGATTTCTGCAACTGATTGCTATATTAACAAAAAGACTTTGGCTTGTGGGTAACTTTGAGAAATCGTCTAAGAAATATCTAGATGTACTAGCTCTATTATTATTGTTATTCATATTCATAGGCAATAAATAGCCCGTGACAAGACATTTCAAAATCCTAAGCATAATCTGAAATTGGTAACTTGGCCTTGGCTTTAATTTAAATTCACATACAAAAATATTTAAACCATTATAAAAAGCCCATCGTCAAAATCGGATGAGATTTTACCGTGTTATGGGGGTGGGAAATCTTCACCTAAGTCTGTATAGGATATTACAGGGTACCATTTAGACATGAATTTTGACCAGAAATCATGTTTTCAGATTTAGATGTCAAATTGATTTAGAGGCCAAACCATGAAGAAAGAGCCAATCCTCATGCAATTCGGATGAGATTTGACCGAGATATGGGGGAGTGAAGTCTTGAGCTATGTCTATGTAGCATATTACAGGGTACCATTTAGACATGAATTTTGACCAGGAATCATGTTTCAAGATTTAGATGCCAAATTGTTTAAGAGGTCAAACCATGAAAAAAGAGCCAAGGCTCGTGCAATTCGGATGAGATTTGACCGAGTTATGGGGGAGTGAAATCTTGAGCAATGTATATGTAGGATATTACAGGATACCATTTAGACATGAATTTTGACCAGGAATCATGTTTCAAGATTTAGATGCCAAATTGTTTAAGAGGTCAAACCATGAAAAAAGAGCCAAGGCTCGTGCAATTCGGATGAGATTTGACCGAGTTATGGGGGAGTGAAGTCTTGAGCTATGTCTATGTAGCATATTACAGGGTACCATTTAGACATGAATTTTGACCAGAAATCATGTTTTCAGATTTAGATGCCAAATTGATTTAGAGATCAAACCATGAAGAAAGAGCCAAGCCTCGTGCAATTCGGATGAGATTTGACCGAGATATGGGGGAGTGAAGTCTTGAGCTATGTCTATCTAGGATATTACAGGGTACCATTTAGACATGAATTTTGACCAAGAATCATGTTTTCAGATTTAGATGCCAATATTATTTAGAGGTCAAACCATGAAGAACGAGCCAAGCCTTGTGCAATTCGGGTGAGATTTGACCGAGTTATGGGGGAGTGAAATCTTGACCTATGTATATGTAGGATATTACAGGGTACCATTTAGACATGAATTTTGACCAGAAATCATGTTTTCAGATTTAGATGCCAAATTGATTTAGAGATCAAACCATGAAGAAAGAGCCAAGCCTCGTGCAATTCGGATGAGATTTGACCGAGATATGGGGGAGTGAAGTCTTGAGCTATGTCTATCTAGGATATTACAGGGTACCATTTAGACATGAATTTTGACCAAGAATCATGTTTTCAGATTTAGATGCCAAATTGATTAAGAGGTCAAACAATGAAGAAAGAGCCAAGCCTCGTGCAATTCGGATGAGATTTGACCGAGTTATGGGGGAGTGAAATCTTGACCTCTGTATATGTAGGATATTACAGGGTACCATTTAGACATGAATTTTGACCAAGAATCATGCTTTCAGATTAAGATGCCAAATTGATTAAGAGGTCAAACAATGAAGAAAGAGCCAAGCCTCGTGCAATTCGGATGAGATTTGACCGAGATATGGGGGAGTGAAGTCTTGAGCAATGTCTATGTAGCATATTACAGGGTACCATTTAGACATGAATTTTTACCAGGAATCATGTTTTCAGATTAAGATGCCAAATTGATTAAGAGGTCAAACCATGAAGAAAGAGCCAAGCCTCGTGCAATTCGGATGAGATTTGACCGAGATATGGGGGAGTGAAGTCTTGAGCTATGTCTATGTAGCATATTACAGGGTACCATTTAGACATGAATTTTGACCAGGAATCATGTTTTCAGATTTAGATGCCAAATTGATTTAGAGGTGAAACCATGAAGAAAGAGCCAAGCCTCGTGCAATTCGGATGAGATTTGACCTAGATATGGGGGAGTGAAGTCTTGAGCTATGTCTATCTAGGATATTACAGGGTACCATTTAGACATGAATTTTGACCAGGAATCATGTTTTCAGATTAAGATGCCAAATTGATTAAGAGGTCAAACCATGAAGAAAGAGCCAAGCCTCGTGCAATTCGGATGAGATTTGACCGAGATATGGGGGAGTGAAGTCTTGAGCTATGTCTATGTAGCATATTACAGGGTACCATTTAGACATGAATTTTGACCAGGAATCATGTTTTCAGATTTAGATGCCAAATTGATTTAGAGGTGAAACCATGAAGAAAGAGCCAAGCCTCGTGCAATTCGGATGAGATTTGACCTAGATATGGGGGAGTGAAGTCTTGAGCTATGTCTATCTAGGATATTACAGGGTACCATTTAGACATGAATTTTGACCAGGAATCATGTTTTCAGATTAAGATGCCAAATTGATTAAGAGGTCAAACCATGAAGAAAGAGCCAAGCCTCGTGCAATTCGGATGAGATTTGACCGAGATATGGGGTAGTGAAGTCTTGAGCTATGTCTATGTAGCATATTACAGGGTACCATTTAGACATGACTTTTGACCAGGAATCATGTTTTTAGATTTAGATGCCAAATTGATTAAGAGGTCAAACCATGAAGAACGAGCCAAGCCTTGTGCAATTCGGATGACATTTGACCGAGTTATGGGGGAGTGAAATCTTGACCTATGTATA